CAAGACAGTGAGCCACCGTTAGAAGGGTCAACTACAACAATTAGTTGCCCAAGAGTTAAAAGAAGTGAAATCCATACCTTAATCGAAATTGAAAAGTAACGCACGATCAAAAGGAATTCACGATAAAGTTCGACTTGGTTGTGTGCCTAACTAATGCATAAATCTGTTATTACTTGAATGACATAAAAATATAACACAATTCTTCTAATAAGTTACTTGGGTCCTAAATGATCTTAAACAACTTAGACTTCAAGAGAACCAGCCGGATATGCATTAAGAAAACAAACTCAATACTTAGTCTAGTGCAATTTTGTTCCCGACATTTAATAGCTTATGTCCCTCTTTTTTGTGAGCATTTTTCTCCCACTTAGAAGTTGATACAAATTCCATAATCTAAATGAAATTGTAGTATTTTCTATTGTGAGTATGTTGGTTTTTGAATCACCTCATTTGAAGCATCCATCAATTTTATACGAAATTTACAAAAACAGTAGATTATTCCCCAGTACAGTGTTAACAACCTCAAAAACACTATGTTTTGGGTCACTTAGAGCCATAATTGGGTTTGAGTCCCTTCACAACAATAGTAGTATACATATAGGGCTTTCTACTTGTAAAACTTCAGCTCATTCTGACATACGGTTTGTGATTTGTGCGCTGTTAAAGTAGTGGAACTACACTATCGTCAAATCCGATTTCACAATTTTTCTCAATTCACTTTTATGATCCCAACTTCATGATTTGCTACATTTAAATGCTCTAAATTATATTTTGACATAATAAACATAAAAAAAGAGTTCAATAGTCATTATCCTAAGCTTAAACTGCAATTTTACTCTCTTAGACATTTAGTTGAACAAATACACACAACCTAACCATATTGATTCCATACTTTACCCTTTAATTTCCTATTCAATTTTACCATCCCAAACATTCAAAACATGCATATTAACACATATTTGTATCACTAATTCATAGTCTAAACCTATATCCAAATAGATACCAATATCAAAAATTCTAACATAAATTCCTTAACAAAAACGGAAGAAACTTATACCTTTAAGAAGGATTCGAAGAGTGGATTCCGAATTTGTGATTGTTACTTCGATTCTTTCAGGAATTTGACGTCAAATTTAGAGAGAGAGAAAATGAAATGAGGCAGTTGAAAAACAAAATAAAACAAAACACAGGGTTATGCCAACTTGTGGCATAAACCTATCTCTAAGGGGAAATACTCGGCCGAGGTCACGACACATATTCTTGCTCCACCCCGACGGTTCTCAAACCACAAAATTTGGACCGTTAACCACTACTTTAAACTATAGTCAACTCTTCTTACATTGTTTTTTTTATTAACCTGGATATCCAACCCGCTTTGCGAGCCGATTAATACCAGGGCAACCACCTGCTTTGCCAAGTAGTCCGGAGTCACCGCATTTGAACCTCCATGGACACAAGGGGGTTTTTGTTCCTCTTTAGATTTGAATTTGGGACCTCCTGATACTTTTGACCTTTGGAGTCAAGTTCAAACCAATCAGGTTCCACCCTTGTGGTTCTCTTCTTACATTGTTTACTCAATCAGAGCATCGTATGCATTAAATTCATGACCAAAAACATAGGCATTAGTGGTTGTAACTTATGATATCCACCGTATAATAAGTTGGCTTCTTCAACTCTATTTGTGATTCTCAATTTGATTGTTGCTCCTGTTATTCATTATGGATACCAATGGAAATAGAACCGATTCAGAACTCAAACACTTATTCGGTAAACGTTTACTAAAACCCATAACTTTAACAGATGAAGATGACAAGGATCGAGAATCTTACTGGTAAAAGCGATGATCAAGACCAAGAGAGTCTTACCTGGTATGTGTGAGTGACGAATGTTTAGCACTTATCATTTTGATTAATTAAAATCATAGCCAGTAAGATAATCTTACTGAGTCAAAGACCTTCCAGCCTAGTGGTAAAGGCTTGGGCATGACATAGTCATGAACCCGAGTTCGAGCCCTGGGAAGGAAGTGTTGGCGACATTTAAGTGAGACCATGTTTAGCCTCCAAATTTGTCGGGGATTAGTCGGGCTTTGGCCCGGACACCCTTTAAAAAAAAAAAAAGATAATCTTACTGAGAATGTTGAATCTTATCTGTAAACCTTTTACGAGTAAATTGTTACATACGATCTTTTCTCTAAATTTTATTTAAACCCATGTGTTGGTAAAAATACCGTAAAATTATCAAAATAAAAAATTGATAAAAAAAAGTAAAAATAAAGACAAGCTATCAAATATATATCTGGTTGTTTGTTTACCTCTTAACAGTTTCATTAAAAGGCAATCTCTGAATCGTTAAGAAGTGAATCATGTTTGGCAAAGAAAAAGTTCATCTCTTAATGTTCTAAAATCATCTGAATGATTTTCTATTCTAGGCCTCCCTTAACCGTTAAGAACCCTAATTTTATTGTAAACAATTATCAAACAATTATATTTCATTTTATGCTATATCATAAGAGCCTCTTATTCATTCTAACCACTTAACGATGATGCACAAAACCATTCGACAAGCCAAAAAAAAATCCCCTTACCCTAAAGAACACAGCCTACATACTTTCATACTCTTTTTACCGTCTCTCCTTCGTCTTCCTTTTCAAAATTTCTTACCTGTTCTTGAATTTCTTTTTTCCGATCTTCATATCCACTTACTTTTGAGGTGTTTGGATCGGACTTACACAACACACGAATTTATGCCATGGAAGAGGGAGGAGTTTCTACAGAGTTGTTTTCGCATCAGAAACCGTAAGATCCCATGGTGCTGATCTTCCCCTGATTGTTGGAATTGGTGATCTCGGAATTACTGTTTTAAATTATAATCAGGTAAATCTAATTCCTTCAATTTTGATCACATTCGGAGATAGGGTTCATGTTGCAACTTCATATTACTGTTCTTGAGGTTTTTTGTAGGATTTATAAAAAAATATTGCTAAAAATATTGCTAAAAATACAGGTTCTTGAGGTTGAAACCCTAACGATTAAAACCCCAATTTTCACAGCTCAATAGTTGACACCCTAATTTACTGTTCCGTCTTAAATTGATCGATGCACCAATATAGCTATTAGGGTCATCTTCTATGAAGATCCCAATTTAAATCCAAATAAATTGCAATTGGGATACTATTGCTACGTAGGGGGTGTTTGGTTTTGCTTATCTAAAACAACTTATGCATTTTTGTAAAAGTGCTTATTAACTTACCTGGTATCAAACCGGAGTTTTGTAAAAAGTGTTTGAATCAGCTTATAGCGGTACCAAAAAGCAATAAGCTGATAAGTTGTTTTTTAGTGTTTGACAAATTTTGCTTACATATGTAAAATGACCAAAAAGGACAGACTTCCATAATTAAACTTATTTGATTTTTTAACATGTAAAAATTTATTTTTCATCATTTATAATAATATTTTTAACAAAAATTTATATCAGTAAGATTAATAATTTATATCAATAAGATTAATAATTTATATTAATAAGATTAATAATTAACAAAAATTAATAAAACAGGGTTAAAATGGTAAACTGGTAATAAGTAGTTTTTCATAAGTCATGAAGGATTAACTTATCAAAAACTGCTTATTACCGGTTTGGTGCACCGGTATAAGCAGTTTTATTTTTCCTCATCCAAACACTAGCATTTAGCTTATCACCGGTGCCAGACTGAAATAAGTCAAAAAACACCTAAAATAAGCAATCCCAAACACCCCTTATACATTTTATAGGTCTACAAAATATGTTTTATAGGGATAAGACTTATTAGGATTTAGCAGAGATATTGGTGCTAAGGTAAGTTCTTTCACGACATTACATTTCGTCTTATGAGCCACTTCTTAGGACGCCTATAAGTGTTTCTAAATGTAATAGTACGTGAGCAATTTTTACGACTATATAAAGCATTCTATGTTATACTCTATTAGGACTTTTTTAAGGTTGCATAATACATTTTATAGGACCCTTGAAGACACATATTTTGGTACTAATACAAGTTCTTTTTGCAACATTGACTTTCATCGTATGAAACTACTTCTTGGAACATCTATGTGTTTTTAAATGTAGTAGTAGTAGGTAATCATATTTTACGACCACATAAAGTGTCCTATCATATATTTTATTGGGACTCTTAGTTGTATGTAAAACATTTTATAGGACACTTGAATTTGTTTCATGATCATATAACCTGTTAGGTTGCCTAGTTTTGTCTTGACAACTTTTTGTAACGCCTTTAGATAGGACGCCTATGTTTTTGGTCCTCTAAAGTTAAGGGTCCTATTAAAATGGTTTTGTAGGATACTAATAGGCATCTAGTAGGTGCCTTTTGTTGCAGTGGACATCTTATGATACATATACCTTCCATGTATACTTTTATGTCTTTTGAGCCACAATGTTGACTGTAACAGTTTATGTGTAATAATATAAATCCTTTGGGTTTCTAACTTACCCCATGTTAATGTTTTTCATCACTTGTTTTTAAGTTTTCAGGTTAAAACGAACTTTTTCAAAACCATCAATCTCAAGTTCAAAGTCTCTTAGTTATAACTTCAAAAGATGAGGAAGTCAAATAATATGAAAATATTTGAATTTTCTTTCTTCTTTTTTTGCTTTATAAAAATATTATGTGTTGATTAAAAGTTTATGAAACATGACAAATACAAGGGAATTGATTGAATGCATTTAATAGGAAGATGCAATAAGCAATAGCAGACAATGAAAGGCCAGTTTACTTTTTACAAATTTTCTTCTCTAATATAATTAACTGATATTTTTGGATCCTTGTTATTTAGTAATTTCTTTTTTGGGCCTTATTATATTTTAAACTTTTTGTAGTAATATATAGTAAAAGATTTTGGACTCTTATTATTATTATTATTCTTTTTGCAGGTAGGAACAACCCTACAACAAAGGAGCAACAAAGGAGGGAGTCGGTAGGGCAACCATCGGTATCCAACTCCCCAAGATTCAGTTGTCTTCTGTATAACGAAACAACCTTCGCCAATCTTAGTATGCATGTTTGCCATGCTGTCACGATCCTAATGTTTCCCTTTAAACTGTTAGCTTTCAACTTCTCCTCCATTGCCAACGAACTATTCCAAAAATGCAACTCTTTAAACAAAGTCAAGCTTCTACACCAACAACTGATAGTGAAAGGCCTTACAACCTCATACCCAACGGAATTACCCAAACTCGTGGGCATGTACATCTCCTGCGAGGCCCCATCACACGCCCTTGCTATCCTCTCCTGCCTCCATCCCTCGCCGTCGTGTGTGTTCTGGTGGAACTCTCTTATTCGACGTGCAGTGCGTCTCCATTTACYTCACCAAGCTCTYGARCTTTATCACARTATGCAATCCCTTGGTTGGCGTCCTGATGGGTACACATTTCCTTTTCTTCTCAAGGCCTGTGGAGAGCTCCCGTCGTTCCGTCATGGTGCTTCATTGCACGGAGTAGTTTGTATTATTGGGTATGTAAATAATGTGTTTGTTGGAAATGCGTTGGTGGCGATGTATAGTCGTTGTGGTGATTTGGATGGTGCCCGTCAAGTGTTTGACGAAATGATTCATAGTGGGATCGCCGATGTCATCTCGTGGAACTCAATTGTTGCAGCTTATATGCATAGTGGTGACTCGAAAAAGGCAGTGCAAATGTTTTATCGGATGACAACCTATGGAGAAGGCAAAAGTCGGCTTTGCCCCGATGCCGTTAGCCTTGTTAACATCCTTCCTGCTTTTGCTTCTGTTCTTGCATCTCTGCAAGGCAAGGTGGCTCATGCTTACGCTTTGAGAACTCAGCTCATTGAGGATTTATTCGTGGGTAATGCCATGGTCGACATGTATGCCAAATGTGGATTGATGGATGATGCCCACAAAGTGTTTGTTCAAATGCAAGTAAAGGATGTGGTTTCTTGGAATGCAATGGTTACCGGATACTCCCAGATAGGTCGATTTGAAGATGCTCTTGCCCTGTTCCAAAACATGCG